CATAGAAGCACGCATGATTGTGCCTTTATGCAATGTCGGAGAAATGTTACCAGATCTGAATGGATACCAGAATGCAAAACGAACTGGAGAGCATTCTACATAGACTGCTGACTCCCGCTAAAGCATGTTTCCCATCGTTAAACCATTTTTGGAAGAGGATGACCCATTAGATTAGCAACGTGAATGGCAACCTGAATGTTACAGAGTAATTGTGTTGTTTAGTTCCGGTTTTGCTGCACTGACCACTTCTAACTGGTGCCTACAGTAAATGACTGAAGTATGTTTCATGGTTGTACCACGTACATCATAAGTTTCAAAGGCATAATGTTTTCGGATGCCTGGTGTCTTAGTTTCCATCAACGGCAATGTGTTCACCTCCACAAAATGTTCGTTTCTGCCGACAGAAGAGTATCCATAATCTATATTCTATTTACCGTTCTATTCGTAACCCTATATTAAGTGGGACGATTTACGGTCACTCAAGAGAGCGTTATTGAGGCTTAGCGGAGAGAGGTGCATATCGGGAGTAATTCAAGACTAAACCACCGGCAGATGCACTACCGAGTCTGAAAACCCGCCTGCCTATGGATACCATCCCTTCAGCCATGCATTCATCGATCACCAGAGGCACCATTACGTAATCACCATATAGCTGTTATCAAATGCTGTCACTGTCACATGCTGTATGTGCCAAGTCAGTTTATGTTAGCTAAAGATTGCCAAAGTGGTTCCGGGAAATGGACAAGAGACTGTTGTACGCTGCACTGGACATGTAACTAACTAAACAGATGTATATTCCTCCATTTGCTTCCGCGTCCTTTACATTTCTCTCTGTGGTGGTCTGAGGCTTAAGTACTTCAAGTGTGTTACGCTAATCATAGGTCTTTCTTTTCCGTCCTATTTTCCCCTTTCATTGTAAGACCTCATTCAAATAATCTGACATGGTCGTACGGTAGTGAGGCGCCAGTGTTCTACTCTAGAGCTACTGTTCATAAAAAATTATAATGATTCGTGAGCTATGCACTAATGATGGTTACATAAATGCTGAAACAGCTGTACATTGATAAGGTTGTAGCATAGATCGACTTCACTTGCGAAACGAAACCCCGGTGGAAAAAATTCTGGAATCCCATACTATCAACAAGAAAGGGGAAGATTCCCATGCAGTATAACTTGATTGAAATCCAGTTGTGGTTGAATCGTAACTCTCAACCGGACACTCAATGCCGTATCATGGGTCTACGGGTGACTCACATTTTGCCCTACTACTAATCGGCCAAAGGATGTTATAGAGTCTGTCAACAAGCGTTCGGGTGAAATATCGCGGTTGGTTCGTAGTTTTCAGTGACGTAATATATTGATTTTGGATCACTTACCACTTATCACTTATCACCCTGGCCCTCCAGGTTGGGGGTTGGAACATGTGGCGACTTGTTCCGTAGAAATGGTAATGCATTTGCATTTCCCTCCAAACACCGCTGCCGTGCGGTTAGGCTTTTGAGCCAAAGGCTTTGGCTGAGGACCCTAATCGTCCTCTTGTCTAGGTGTGGGCGCCCTGGCAGTATCCCAGCCCACGTACAACCATGAATTGCACATACAAATAAACTCATGCCACATCGGCCGTCGCGTGATGCCATCAGCCGGGTCGCCTTACTTGCTGCATACAGCAGGGCGGGTAAGCGAAAACAGGCTACTGCTGACGCCTCCCTTCTTTCTCCTTCACATACTTTTTCTTCC